CAAATATTGAAATATTCATTATGTAAAATCTACAAATCCAGTTAATTGAGAAACGTCCAGATCACGCAAACTAGCTGCCTCACGTAGGTACTCAAACACCTTTTACGAATTATTTATGATTTTACAACCAATTATTTCTTTGAAGCATTTTAACTTTTGGGAGAGTCAAAGGCATTTATTGCACAAATATACATATACAACCACATATCTGATGCCTTACAACTCTTTCCATTTCATAGCTGTTTTTAGCAACATTTATGACTAAATTTTCCAAAGTCAGTAGTTGCGGTAATGACATTTTGATTTAAAGTTGAAACGTCACAATAAAATTTTATGGAAAATTCTTGTCCAAACTTCTTTGCTAATGCAATATATCAATCAAGGTAGTTTACATGAAGACACTAAATACAATTAAAATTTTGGTGTCCGCCCGGGAAAGCCACATTTAAAAAATACCAATTGCCGCTAAAGCCACATTTCAAGTGCAAACCTCAGTGCCGCGAATCGCCGCGAAAACCACAATGAGTAAGGGAACCACTAGCCAGACTCATTGCATGATCTACTAGCATACCTCAACGCTTGAACCACTAGCAAGATCCATTGCATGATCTACTATCATACCCCAACGCTTGAACCACTAGCCAGATCCATTGCATGATCTACTAGCATACCTCAAAGCTTGAACCACTAGCCAGATCCATTGCATGATCTACTAGCATACCTCAACGCTTGAACCACTAGTCTGCTCCATCGCATGATCTACTAGCATACCTCAAAGCTTGAACCACTAGCCTGCCCCATCGCATGATCCACTAGCATACCTCAACGCTTGAACCACTAGTCAGATCCATTGCATGATCTACTAGCATACCTCAACGCTTGAACCACTAGCCAGACTCATTGCATGATCTACTAGCATACCTCAACGCTTGAACCACTAGCCAGATCCACTGCATGATCTACTAGCATACCTCAACGCTTGAACCACTAGTCTGCCCCATCGCATGATCTACTAGCATACCTCAAAGCTTGAACCACTAGCCTAGCCCCACCGCTTCTTGTTCAGTGGATTCAATAAATAAATGAAAAATAGAGATTTGAAATATCCGAACTCTGAGATATGTTAAAAAGAATGCCGAATTTAAGGAACCGACCACACACCGATTAACATGTGTGACATCCTCCGATTATAAAAATAGGATGTGCCTCGAAGGCCTGTTTAATCGGGATATACGTCTCTTCGGTCGATAGGTCTCTTGTGGCGAGAGATTCCTTGTGTGGAGGCTGGAGCGTTGATGAATTAATACCTCTGTCGGCTGTCAATCACTCAGCTACCTGGATACTGACAACAACCCGACAAAACACCTGAAGGTAAGCATCCTTCTTTTCACAGTCTTTAGGTTTTAATGTTTTTGTTTGTCACAGAATTCATACATTGGCTGTGTTTTCTTTTGTAGAAGTGTTTCCAGGTGAAGGCAGGAGATATTCATGTTATTTGCCGAAGGCGCTCTCAACATAACGTTATCGAGTACATGACAAAACATATACATTTGTGTCCTACTTTAATTATTAAATTATCACACGAAATACAGGTTACAACATGTTGTGGATACCTCCCAAAATAAAATTATTTAAAAGAAACACAGCAGAATATTTTGTTTGCAGGACAGGGGGATTAGAGGACAAGGAGGGGCACATTCGTGGATGGTCCATATATAGTAAGGACATATATAGGCGAGAGGTGGGGGTGGCAGATGGTCCATGGTAAGGACATATGTAGACGAGAGGTGGGGTGGAATAAGGTCCATGTTAGAGGACATATAGCGGGGACAAGATGGTCTATAGTACAGGCCACATAGAGCGCTTAGCCTGGCATAATGTCGCAATCACACATTCACATGCATTATTAGCTTCTTTATTGTGACTCGTCTAATTACAACAACGTCGAACTCTGTAAGATGCGCTTTGCTGCACTGCTGGGGCCCTTCTAACGGGAAACTATATTTCCACGGGAACTTCCATGAAGCCAGCTGATTAATAATGTTCCTGTCCCCTGAGACTTTATTCAGTACTTGAACATACACCTGGGAACAAAGGCTCGTTTCAACCACCTAGCTTGCTCTGAATAATGAATTATCGTTGATGAGAAACAGGACACTTTATCTCATTTTATAGCAACCTGAACCGTTCATGTACAATGTTCCTAATAGACTCCTGTCATACACATGGGATGTGGTGCGTGATGCTTGGACTGACAAAATGGGGTTGCCGTGTTTGGTTCTGTTTTATTTTATTTTGAAAGGTTTTATTAAATTTGAATATACATTGATGTTGCACTCAATGAATCGTTTAAATTTAAGTGTGTATACGTTCGTTTCCAAGGAGACAATATCACGTGACCGAAATTGATTCACCGGTAATTGATTTCAGAAGGGCTGAAATCTCACCACAGAACAAACTTCAATAGGTGCATTTTGTGTATAACTGATTTAGATCACCAGAATATTCAAATTGACTCTCAAATAATCGAAATGTGTGTATGTAACCTGCTGATTACTCGTAATCGATCTCACCCCAAACAATAGCCGCCCACTGCAGCTCATTTTGTTGCGATATCCCTCGCTATTAGTTCTCTTAGTTACAAGGCCAATGATGACGTTACCATGACTACTGCCAAACGCCAACGCCCCGCGAGAGCTTCCGGCGCTTCAACAACTGCATATCATGATGAAGCGCAATGTCGTTGACAGAACGTCGCGATCTTACTACGACCGAAGTGTATGGATAGGTATGCTGATTACCATCGGCACATCTGGGAGTGGCGATGATCCGTGTCCACTCGCGGGTAGCCAATCAATGTTGACCAATAGATGCGGCTGAACATATAGGATAGCGGTGTCCTCCCATTTGTGAGACACATTAATTAATGGTTCAGTGCACACAGGTGGTGCTTCCCCATCCCTACGATGAAAGTGGGAACAGCCCTGTTGCTGAAGAGTACCCGCAGGAGGCATAGTTCATTAATGAGTTAATTAACACAGAAGACATTGTTCTTTGAAGAGCATTTATTGTTTTCAATAGATACTGAAATACTGAAAAATATTATCGTGAACTGGTGATATATTCTACTTGTTGAAGGCCTGCCATAATGGTGATCGGAAAGAGCAGTCAAAGGTTGGATTAATTATAGTTACAACAGTTATTGCTGGATTTTTCAAACACGTAAATCTGAGTAGGTAAATTAGATAGCGGTGTGAAATACAATATCACTGACCTGTCCAAAGCAGTGGATATGTGAGTCCAAACGTATGCGCGTGCGTGTGTGTATACTTCAATGCTCTGTTGGTCAGATTATACACGCGGTTACACGCCACAACTCCAACATGTAAAGTCAGAATTTGCACGTTCACGTAGCCTGGATACTGCTACTGCTACCAACATATAGATAGATAGATAGATAGATAGATATATAGATATATATATTATATATAGATAGATAGATAGATAGATAGATAGATAGATAGATAGATAGATAGATAGATAGATAGATAGATAGATAGATAGATAGATAGATAGATAGATAGATATATATATATATAGATATATATATATAGATATATTATATCTGTACTAAGGATCTTCAGACTTTTTTTTTTTGTGTGTGTGTGTAGGTTTTATTGTAACGCTATATAGCCGAGGCACTGTTACAACAAGTACGGCTATAAAAGAAACTTCCACATCCACAAGTTTGTACACCATCAACTATCAAGGATTTGGTAACACTATCCAAGCAGTGGTAGCGTGCATACGAGTATTGGCAAGTAGTTATGGAATTCACAGAAGGCCAAATCAGTGGTCTGAGGTCTCCTTCCCAGTGTTGTCAGCTATGCAGATGGCATATATCCGAACAACAAATGGTGTGAATGTCCACTAGTCAGTCATCCATTGTGAGAGGGACATCACAGCTGAGATCGTCCCTAAGTTATTCATGACGTGTCCCTGTGGAGATGTACCACCCTATAAACTGCCCCATTACAGCGGTAGACATATGTTGTCTTTACAACCGCCCTGGGGTAATTAGACAAGAGCAATGCTATATAGATGTTGTACCCGCTGTGCGTTATGTCGGTGTCGTCGCATTAGGTATTATGGCTGATTAAGTGCTTTATTCTCACTGGATATCTGAAAAGGATTAATCCGCTACCAATGTTTTAATTTGGAAGTCCGACTACTGGTAGAATGTTTTGTGTACCCTTCAAGTAAACTGGTGTAAACTGACAGGGCTCCAACGGCCGAAAGACTGACAGGGCTAAACCCCACAAAAGTTCAAGAATCTGTTCTGTGATGAGAAAGTGTAATCTAGAATATACTATGCATGTTACATTTGTCTACTTTGTAACTGGCAATCTGTAATCATAACATTCACACAGTTTCGCGTAGTTGCTTGTATAGCTATATACACTAGTTTGGTACTGCGCCCCTAGACATGCCCAACCTTGTCCTACTGTAATGCATGACAAGCTATGTGCTCGCGGTATGTTTACCAATGTAACAACTTTGTACATGATCTATATGTAGCTACAACTCCAGCATTGGCTGGATGCCAATGTTAACGCGTGCATTTCTTCATTACAAGTCTCTCTTGAAATTATCAACCACACAGGGAGTTACTCCCACGGTATCTTTCCTTGAAGATTCAAGTTCATGTTAAATCGTCCACGTGTACCTTAATTGTTAACAGGTGTTATATGACATGTAAACTGCTTTCAACAACGTCGTGTTAAATAACATTACCAAATGTTACGTTTTTCTTACACGAGCTGATCACATACATGACTTGTATTCAACTTTGAGTAGACTATACTCCCGGATCACGATGTGGTATATTACATAATGAGCCGTAGCTAGATTTCCCCCAGGAAATTTTAGCTGCGTATTTTAGTACACTGCATTTATTATTGAACGTATCGATCACGCCGGCAGTGGGTCTCCTCCATTACTGGGGCGTGTAGCCTACTGTGGCAGTAACAAACAGTCATTACGTTACAACTGTGTGCTATCAGATCCATATCAACCTCTGTTCTATATTCGACCGCTTTGTGGTGTTTCGGATTGAATAGAGGGAAACTGTAAGCTCGACCCTATAGTTGACATGGGTATCTGACTCGATATGCTATTGTTAGCTAGCTGATTGGAACAGACCAAAGGTTGAACATATCCAATTGGTTCATGATCGATGTTCTCGTGCGGAATTAAGATACGCTCTGGTAGAGAGAGCTCGTGAGGCAGCGGAGTGAGACTGGGCTAGCGGAGAGATTACCTGTCCACCCGTCGCCACGGACACAGACAAACAGTGGCATCAGATCCCAAACCATACCTACTTGAACAGGTGTGCCTGTGTGGCCGTACTTGAGACAGGTGAGTTGTGATTGTCAAGCCTGTTAACCCTCTGTGTTTGATTCACGGCGGTTTGTGTCGACGACAGCAGCATTTACTTCGTTATATGTTGTTAAGAAATTATTGCAATGGTAAAGGTATATAAACCTCTGGCCGCTGATGCATTAGCTCTCATCCAAGGGACACAAGAGAGGCCGTGTACTTTTGTGTAGCAAAACTTGACTGCCTGTCAAGCATGGCATGTTCATCTGGAACCTAACAGTAACGCTGATGTAGCTGTGGACTGCCCCAGCGATAGGTACATGTCAGTCACTATGTATTCTCTTCACATTTTATTAGTCGACTTTTATGAGTTGATCACGTTCTTCCTTCTCGTGTTGGACATAGATGCCGGTTAAATTCAAGCGATCCTTTGATATTTTCCATTTTTCATCACCAGCTTTGAATAGCCCCATGGGACGAAATCTGAGAATAAATAAAGAACACTGCCACGAAATGGTGTTCCCTTATTTGTTTCCCTGAGTATAGTTTAGTCACTGGTATTTTGAGACGCACCTTTGCTGTTGTATATTGTTGTGATAAATGTGTTCAAATAACGGAACAGTAACACACGATACATGTGTTTAGATCCTATACACAAACCTAATAGTGATCCTTATTCCCTGTCGCGTTTAGGTTCTAAAAATATTTAGAATTATGTTTAACAGCCAAGCGTATTCAACTTTGTGAAAGGCCCGCACACACGTACGTACGCACGTACGTACGTACGCACGCACGCACGCACGCGTGCGCACACACACACACACACACACACACGTGTATATCGTTGAAATACTTTCACTGTCAGATCTGGTTCATGTGTCTTAGAAATGCTTGAAGTCATATATCAACAACGAATTAATGAACATAACGCTTTTAAGGTCTCAGCGGCATTTACCCCTGCAACCCTTGATTTTAGTCCTTCTCATTACCACCAGTGCTACGGACATTATTCAGGTCACAAGTGACATGTTTTCTAGTCACCATTATCGTGCCGTGTTTTTCACGTTCATTGTCATGGTACTATTGAGCCATGTTCATTGTTACTACTGAGCTACACTGATTGTATACAGTTGTAAAGTTAGAGGAAGTGACTATCATTTAATAATATTCCGAAAACACTTGTTGTCCAAATCAATAACTGTATATAATGAGTGTTCGTGGTAGACATTAAGTGTGACAGACAGGTAGTGACAGATGTTTTGTGATGGTGCATGACCGATATGTTGTAATTGTTTATGTCAGACATGTAAGTATGTATGACAGACATATGAGGCTGTTTAATGGATCGGTATGTAAGGTGTTTGACAGACAGATAGGTAGTGTGTATGACAGACACATGTTGGTGTATAACAGACAGGTAGTTGATGTGTATGACAGACATATGTTGGTGTATAACAGACAGGTAGTTGATGTGTATGACAGGCACATGTGGTGTATAACAGACAGGTACTAGTAGTTGATATGTATGACAGACATATTATGTTGGTGTATAACAGACAGGTAGTTGGTGTGTATGACAGACATATTATGTTGGTGTATAACAGACAGGTAGTTGATGTGTATGACAGACATTATGTTGGTGTATAACAGACAGATAGTTGGTGTGTATGACAGACACATGTTGGTGTATAACATACAGGTAGTTGATGTGTATGACAGACATATTATGTTGGTGTATAACAGACAGGTAGTTTGTGTGTATGACAGACATTATGTTGGTGTATAACAGACAGATAGTTGGTGTGTATGACAGACATATTATGTTGGTGTATAACAGACAGGTAGTTGATGTGTATGACAGACATATGTTAGTGTATAACAGACAGGTAGTTGGTCTGTATGACAGACATACGTTGGTGTATAACAGACAGGTAGTTGGTGTGTATGACAGGCATACGTTGGAGTAAAACAGACAGGTAGTTGGTGTGTATGACAGACATTATGTTGGTGTATAACAGACAGATAGTTGGTGTGTATGACAGACACATGTTGGTGTATAACACACAGGTAGTTGGTGTGTATGACAGACATATTATGTTGGTTTATAACAGACAGGTAGTTTGTGTGTATGACAGACATTATGTTGGTGTATAACAGACAGATAGTTGGTGTGTATGACAGACACATGTTGGTGTATAACAGACAGGTAGTTGGTGTGTATGACAGACACATGTTGGTGTATAACAGACAGGTAGTTGGTGTGTATGACAGACATACGTTGGTGTATAACAGACAGGTAGTTTGTGTGTATGGCAGGCATATTATGTTGTTGTATAACCAACAGGTTGCTGTGTATGACAAACATATTATGTTGGTGTAAAACATACAGGTAGTTGGTGTGTATGACAGACATATTATGTTGGTGTATAACAGACAGGTAGTTGATGTGTATGAGAGACATATGTTGGTGTATAACAGACAGATAGTTGGTGTGTATGACAGACACACGTTGGTGTATAACAGACAGGTAGTTGGTGTGTATGACAGGCATACGTTGGAGTAAAACAGACAGGTAGTTGGTGTGTATGACAGACATTATGTTGGTGTATAACAGACAGATAGTTGGTGTGTATGACAGACACATGTTGGTGTATAACAGACAGGTAGTTGGTGTGTATGACAGACATATTATGTTGGTGTAAAACATACAGGTAGTTGGTGTGTATGACAGACATATTATGTTGGTGTATAACAGACAGATAGTTGGTGTGTATGACAGACATACGTTGGTGTATAACAGACAGGTAGTTGGTGTGTATGACAGGCACATGTGGTGTATAACAGACAGGTAGTTGGTGTGTATGACAGACACATGTTGGTGTATAACAGACAGGTAGTTGGTGTGTATGACAGACATATTATGTTGGTTTATAACAGACAGGTAGTTTGTGTGTATGACAGACATTATGTTGGTGTATAACAGACAGATAGTTGGTGTGTATGACAGACACATGTTGGTGTATAACAGACAGGTAGTTGGTGTGTATGACAGACACATGTTGGTGTATAACAGACAGGTAGTTGGTGTGTATGACAGACATACGTTGGTGTATAACAGACAGGTAGTTTGTGTGTATGGCAGGCATATTATGTTGTTGTATAAACAACAGGTTGCTGTGTATGACAGACATATTATGTTGGTGTAAAACATACAGGTAGTTGGTGTGTATGACAGACATATTATGTTGGTTTATAACAGACAGGTAGTTGATGTGTATGAGAGACATATGTTGGTGTATAACAGACAGATAGTTGGTGTGTATGACAGACATACGTTGGTGTATAACAGACAGGTAGTTGGTGTGTATGACAGGCATACGTTGGAGTAAAACAGACAGGTAGTTGGTGTGTATGACAGACATTATGTTGGTGTATAACAGACAGATAGTTGGTGTGTATGACAGACACATGTTGGTGTATAACAGCCGGTAGTTGGTGTGTATGACAGACATATTATGTTGGTGTAAAACATACAGGTAGTTGGTGTGTATGACAGACATATTATGTTGGTGTATAACAGACAGATAGTTGGTGTGTATAACAGACATACGTTGGTGTATAACAGACAGGTAGTTGGTGTGTATGACAGGCACATGTGGTGTATAACAGACAGGTAGTTGGTGTGTATGACAGACACATGTTGGTGTATAACAGACAGGTAGTTGGTGTGTATGACAGACATATTATGTTGGTGTATAACAGACAGGTAGTTGATGTGTATGACAGACATATGTTAGTGTATAACAGACAGGTAGTTGGTCTGTATGACAGACATACGTTGGAGTATAACAGACAGGTAGTTGGTGTGTATGACAGACATTATGTTGGTGTATAACAGACAGATAGTTGGTGTGTATGACAGACACATGTTGGTGTATAACAGACAGGTAGTTGGTGTGTATGACAGACACATGTTGGTGTATAACAGACAGGTATTTGATGTGTATGACAGACATATTATGTTGGTGTATAACAGACAGGTAGTTTGTGTGTATGACAGACATTATGTTGGTGTATAACAGACAGATAGTTGGTGTGTATGACAGACCCATGTTGGTGTATAACAGACAGGTAGTTGGTGTGTATGACAGACATACGTTGGTGTATAACAGACAGGTAGTTGGTGTGTATGACAGACATACGTTGGTGTATAACAGACAGGTAGTTGGTGTGTATGGCAGACATATTATGTTGGTGTATAACAGACAGGTAGTTGGTGTGTATGACAGACATATTATGTTGGTGTAAAACATACAGGTAGTTGGTGTGTATGGCAGACAGATTATGTTGGTGTATAACAGACAGGTAGTTGATGTGTATGACAGACATATGTTGGTGTTTAACAGACAGATAGTTGGTGTGTATGACAGACATACGTTGGTGTATAACAGACAGGTAGTTGGTGTGTATGACAGACACATGTTGGTGTATAACATACAGGTAGTTGGTGTGTATGACAGACATTATGTTGGTGTAAAACATACAGGTAGTTGGTGTGTATGGCAGACAGATTATGTTGGTGTATAACAGACAGGTAGTTGATGTGTATGACAGACATATGTTGGTGTTTAACAGACAGATAGTTGGTGTGTATGAGAGACACATGTTGGTGTATAACATACAGGTAGTTGGTGTGTATGACAGACATATTATGTTGGTGTATAACAGACAGGTAGTTGATGTGTATGACAGACATATGTTGGTGTATAACAGACAGGAAGTTGGTCTGTATGACAGACATACGTTGGAGTAAAACAGACAGGTAGTTGGTGTGTATGACAGACATTATGTTTGTGTATAACAGACAGATAGTTGGTGTGTATGACAGACACATGTTGGTGTATAACAGACAGGTAGTTGGTGTGTGTGACAGACATATTATGTTGGTGTAAAACATACAGGTAGTTGGTGTGTATGACAGACATATTATGTTGGTGTATAACAGACAGGTAGTTGATGTGTATGAGAGACATATGTTGGTGTATAACAGACAGATAGTTGGTGTGTATGACAGACATACGTTGGTGTATAACAGACAGGTAGTTGGTGTGTATGACAGACACATGTTGGTGTATAACAGACAGGTAGTTGGTGTGTATGACAGACATACGTTGGTGTATAACAGACAGATAGTTGGTGTGTATGGTAGACAGATTTTGTTGTGTATTGTAGACAGTTTACTATTCATATATAGCGTCTTTTGACATCTTTACTGTTCTGATTACAGACTGCCATAATGGAACCCAACCCCGCTGTTATGAAGCAAAAGTGCCAGCAGGAAATTGCTAACTCAAGCACGAACTCTCCCGTGGATAGATTCAGATACAAATTGTTTCTACATTCAGGGGAAGCAGGGATTAAAGGTATTGGCAGGTATGTATATATGTAACGACATAGCAGGGGATAAGGAACCGTGACAAGTGGGGTCATCTGCCTCTTCAGTGACATAAACCTGAAACACGTGGACTACACTTACTGTACTGCATCATTTACAGGGAAAATCGATATGTTCCACCATAAGTGTCTATATGTCTCTAATTCTTTGTTTGAAACTATTGTACATGTGTCATCTGTTTGTCAGGATGTTTAAGATTCTCGACGACGACGGCAACAGGAAACTGAGCAAAGAAGAATTCAAGAAGGGAATAACAGAACGTCGTGTCAACCTCACACCGGCGGAATTGGAGGCTCTCTTTGCCGAAATCGACAAGGATAACACGGGATCTATAGAGTATGAAGAGTTTTTGAAGGCACTCCGGGTATGTGAGAACTCTTGAAGTATTGTTTCCACCCCGAAGCAAGCCTTATTTTAGTCAATAAAATAGTTTGTGTTTTTGCGTCATGCACATTGCCCGCAGTTTCCATGACGACCTCCTTCTGTCTGTAGGGTCCAATGAACTCGTGTCGGCTGAAGCTGGTGGAACAGGCCTTCAATAAGTTGGACAAGACAGGCGACGGCATCGTAATGGGCGATGATCTGGAGGGGGTGTACAACTATCAGCACCACCCAAAGTTCGTTAGTGGGGAGTGGACTGGCAAACAGTGCAAACGGGCCTTCTTAGACAGTTTCGACATAAAGGACCATGGAGACGGAATGGTATGCGACATCCATTTAATTTGGTATCACATGTTATACTCTGAATGTAGTTTCAGCCCACCTTTTCCCATACAACCCCGTATAATAATGCTAATTTTGCGGAAAGAATCCAACGCGATGCTGCTCTCTGGAGTTATATTATTACCCTAACGGAATTGACTTTCAAAGCCGCTTCGCGCGACCGTATAGGTCCGTACATCCGCTTCTCAGGTATCCATTTTGAACAGCTGGGTGGACTGAGTGCAATGTGGACGAAATGCCTTGCCCAGGGACACAACACAGTATGAGACCCAGTTCACAAATTTTGGTGTCTCCACCGGGATTCGAACCCGAGCCTTTGGCGTGAGAGGCCAACATGCTAACCACTACACCACTGTGCCCCACTACTGGACAAAATCCTTAAACCAGAATGTATGATTTCAATGGGTCCAAAGTCGCGAAACTCACAGGTACTATACACAAAGAACAGGAGGCAGCTAAACAAGGGTTACGTTTTTCTGTCACTGCATTAACACGACAGTTTTTGAAAATAGTTCCAAATAATTCCAGTATTCACATGTCCCTACAAATCTTATCATGTCTATCTTATTTATAAATAGGTAACTAAAGAAGAGTTCATAAACTACTACCACGGAGTGAGCATCAGCATCGACCAGGATCCCTACTTTGATCTGATGATGAGGAGAGCGTGGGGCCTCTAACAACCTTGACAGGTGACAAACAGGTGGGATGTTATAACCTGTAACATGGAGTACAGTAATGTGGAGCATGGAGTACAGTAATATGACATGGAACATAGAGTACAGTAATGTGGAACATAGAGTACAGTAATATGACATGGAACATGGAGTACAGTAATGTGGAACATAGAGTACAGTAATGTGGAACATAGAGTACAGTAATGTGGAGCATGGAGTACAGTAATATGACATGGAACATAGAGTACAGTAATGTGGAGCATGGAGTACAGTAATATGACATGGAACATGGAGTACAGTAATGTGGAACATAGAGTACAGTAATGTGGAACATAGAGTACAGTAATATGACATGGAACATAGAGTACAGTAATATGACATGGAACATGGAGTACAGTAATGTGTAACATAGAGTACAGTAATGTGTAACATAGAGTACAGTAATATGACATGAACATGGAGTACAGAACATAGAGTACAGTAATGTGGAACATAGAGTACAGTAATATGACATGGAACATGGAGTACAGTAATGTGGAGCATGGAGTACAGTAATATGACATGGAACATAGAGTACAGTAATGTGGAACATAGAGTACAGTAATATGACATGGAACATAGAGTACAGTAATGTGGAAGATAGAGTACAGTAATATGACATGGAACATAGAGTACAGTAATGTGGAGCATGGAGTACAGTAATATGACATGGAACATGGAGTACAGTAATGTGGAACATAGAGTACAGTAATATGACATGGAACATAGAGTACAGTAATATGGAACATAGAGTACAGTAATATGACATGGAACATAGAGTACAGTAATGTGGAGCATGGAGTACAGTAATATGACATGGACCATAGAGTACAGTAATGTGGAACATAGAGTACAGTAATATAACATGGAACATAGAGTACAGTAATGTGGAGCATGGAGTACAGTAATATGACATTGAACATAGAGTACAGTAATGTGGAACATAGAGTACAGTAATATGACATGGAACATAGAGTACAATAATATGGAACATAGAGTACAGTAATATGACATGGAACATAGAGTACAGTAATGTGGAGCATGGAGTACAGTAATATGACATGGAACATGGAGTACAGTAATGTGGAACATAGAGTACAGTAATATGACATGGAACATAGAGTACAGTAATATGGAACATAGAGTACAGTAATATGACATGGAACATGGAGTACAGTAATGTGGAGCATGGAGTACAGTAATATGACATGGAACATAGAGTACAGTAATGTGGAACATAGAGTACAGTAATATAACATGGAACATAGAGTACAGTAATGTGGAGCATGGAGTAGAGTAATATGACATGGAACATGGAGTACAGTAATGTGGAACATAGAGTACAGTAATATGACATGGAACATAGAGTACAGTAATATGGAACATAGAGTACAGTAATATGACATGGAACATAGAGTACAGTAATGTGGAGCATGGAGTACAGTAATATGACATGGAACATAGAGTACAGTAATGTGGAGCATGGAGTACAGTAATATGACATGGAACATAGAGTACAGTAATGTGGAACATAGAGTACAGTTATATGTCATGGAACATAGAGTACAGTAATGTGGAGCATAGAGTACAGTAATATGACATGGAACATAGAGTACAGTAATGTGGAGCATGGAGTACAGTAATATGACATGGAACATAGAGTACAGTAATGTGGAGCATAAAGTACAGTAATATGACATGGAACATAGAGTACAGTAATGTGGAACATAGAGTACAGTAATATGACATGGAACATAGAGTACAGTAATATGGAACATAGAGTACAGTAATATGACATGGAACATAGAGTACAGTAATGTGGAGCATGGAGTACAGTAATATGACATGGAACATGGAATACGGTAATGTGGAGCATGGAGTACAGTAATATGACATGGAACATAGAGTACAGTAATATGACATGAAGTACAGTAATGTGAAGCATGGAGTACAGTAATATGACATGAACATGGAGTACAGTAATGTGGAACATAGAGTACAGTAATATGACATGGAACATAGAGTACAGTAATATGACATGGAACATGGAGTACAGTCATGTGACATTGAACATGAAGTTCAGTAGTGTGACATGGAACATGGAGTACAGTAATGTGACATTGAACATGAAGTTCAGTAGTGTGACATGGAACATGGAGTACAGTAGTGTGACATGGAACATGAAGTACAGTCATGTGACATTGAACATGAAGTTCAGTAGTGTGACATGGAACATGAAGTACAGTAGTGTGACATGGAACATAGAGTTCAGTAGTGTGACATTGAACATGAAGTACAGTAGTGTGACATTGAACATGAAGTACAGTAGTGTGACATTGAACATGAAGTACAGTAGTGTGACATTGAACATGAAGTACAGTAGTGTGACATTGAACATGAAGTACGGTTGTGTGACATTAAACATGAAGTACAGTAGTGTGACATTGAACATGAAGTACAGTTGTGTGACATGGAACATGAAGTACAGTAGTGTGACACTGAACATGAAGTACCGTCATGTGACATTGAACATGAAGTTCAGTAGTGTGACATGGAACATGGAGTACAGTAATGTGACACTGAACATGAAGTACAGTCATGTGACATTGAACATGAAGTTCAGTAGTGTGACATGGAACATGGAGTACAGTAATGTGACAAAATTTGTTTATAATGTTTATGTGGAGGGAGCGTGTTTCAGAACTTTTCGTGGTACTATGTCAAAAACCATGTGTGGTCAAACATTGACCATGAATTTTGACGTCATCAGACCATTGTGATTTTCTAAGATGGCGGTCGCAATCAGTGATCTCACAAGAATAAGAAAATCTGGTTAAATAGATATACGTAAACTCGACTGCGTGTTGTATTGATTCAGCACATTTGTTCATGTATTACCCACGTGAAATGAGTATGAACACCTGCATGGATCTCGGAGAAGATGGGTATCTCTATGTATATCACGGGAGCAATTGCAAGGTATATCTACATCTCTGTTCACTTGATGTCTTCAGTATTTTTGTTTTCAGCTATTTCAACAACGTGGTCCGTGTCTGCAACAGAAGGTCTGACACAAGAAACAGTACAGCATCAGAAGTCGATGATTTGTAGCTGGCCATTTGACTTTTCTGGTTGTTTCAATTGTCGAAAATACATTTGCCTAGAACCTTCAAAAATCCAGTCTGTACATTTTGAATTTAATTTTTAAAACATCACTTATCATCAATTTACCTATGAGAAGTCAGTAAATTCATTACAGTTACGACGACGTGCATGTTCCCCGTCTCTGGGAGTAGGTAGTGGTTTTTCATCAAGGAAGCTGATATTATAACTATATAGTAACTAGGTTGCCAGGTGGAAGATTCTCAATGTGTGACAGTGCCTTCGACACGTGGACAGCATGGGTGTTCACAAAATAGATACCAGGAATACTCTTCATTTTACATTTTTTTAATAAATAATTTCCTTTAGGGGGGTTCGAAGAATTCGGCTGGAAATATGCTATATTCAACTTTACTGGCAAAGCGTTATGTATTACTCTGTTTGACTACAGGTGGCGTCAGGGTGTATACAAGCATCTGTGATTTACAATGTTCCGTATACAGCAAGAATAACACATCGGGCTCGTGGAGTCTTGGCCTGTATACCACATAGGGCTCGTAGAGTCTCGGCCTGTATACCACATGGAGCTCGTGGAGTCTCGGCCTGTATACCACATAGGGCTCATGGAGTCTCGGCCTGTATACCACATAGGGCTCGTGGAGTCTTGGCCTGTATACCACATAGGGCTCGTGGATTCTCGGTCTGTATACCACATAGGGTTCGTGGAGTCTCGGCCTGTATACCACATAGGGCTCGTGGAGTCTTGGCCTGTATACCACATAGGGCTCGTGGAGACTCGACCTGTATACCACATAGGGCTCGTGGAGACTCAACCTGTATACCACATAGAGCTCGTGGAGTCTCGGCCTGTATACCACATAGAGCTCGTGGAGTCTCGGTCTGTATACCACACAGGGCTCGTGGAGTCTCGGTCTGTATACCACATAGGGCTCGTGGAGTCTCGGTCTGTATACCACATAGGGCTCATGGAGTCTCGGCCTGTATACCACATAGAGCTCGTGGAGTCTCGGTCTGTATACCACATAGGGCTCGTGGAGTCTCGGTCTGTATACCACATAGGGCTCGTGGAGTCTCGGCCTGTATACCACATAGAGCTCGTGGAGTCTCGGCCTGTATACCACTTAGGGCTCGTAGAGTCTCGGCCTGTATACCACATAGGGCTCGTGGAGTCTCGGCCTGTATACCACATAGAGCTCGTGGAGTCTTGGCCTGCATACCACATAGGGCTCGTGGAGTCTCGGTCTGTATACCACATAGGGCTCCTGAAGTCTTGGCTTGTATATCACACAGGGGTCGTGGAGGCTCGGCCTGTATACAGTGTGTGCCCTTATGGTATTGGACTCCTGGACTTTTGGTCTGAAAAGGGCTTCTTAAATCTTGATCTGTATAGAACTCCCTGTTTAGAGGTGAACAATAAAAGTTTGAAACTGTTCTCCTGTTTGCATCATTCTGTCTGGTACCAGCTACCACGTGGAAGGCAGGTAGCATCGCAGAACATGACATACTGTATCTAGCCTGCTGCATTCAGTTGGATTCCATCATACATTGACTGTCATACATTGTCGTTCTTTGATTTTTACCTGTTTTCAAAAGTGATATGTTTTGCGTTTTCTAGTGCAAGAAGGACATGTCCATACTGAAAACTAAAGGGGACAAGCCAAGTTGACTCACCTCTAGTGTTACTAATGAATGGTGGTTTTATTCCTTCGTATAATCTGTATGTTATTTCACTTTTGTTGTTCTTTATACACTTGCTTTATAACAAATATACAAATAAAACATTGTCATCCTCGTGAAGTGTTTCCTAGGAATTGCTCCGAAATGCTTTAAGTTTCATCAGTTGTTATATTGCTGGTGTACATCCATTCCTGTGCTGTAGGTGATGACCTATACTACAGATCCTGTAATAGATTGCATGGAAGTAGCTAAGGTTATGTAAAAAGATGTATTGTTGCCCCTTGAATACGCTTTCCTGCATGAACAGAAAAAAACGTGAATGTATGTGATTGAGATGTGATTGTGCATGTGCGTGCGTGTGCTCTGCAGAATTTCTGCAACAAAGTAAATTTTAAAATAACCAGTGCACGAGAAGTAAACAAACATACCCGTATGTTAGACCCCACATACCCGAGCTCCACAGACAGACAGGAAAAAACCCCTTAAAAGTTACCCCAGTACTTGAGAACCAGTCTAACGGAGTTATTACTAACCAGGTAATTTCAGGACGACTTTAGGCCAGAAAGCCTTTATGCCCACAACACTAGTACTAATAAACAGTTATATAATGCTGTTGATTGTAAAAAGATTTTTTGGTTTTGTTAAGAGCAGCTAATTCGATATACTGCAGTGATATTTTATAAGCTGGACATCTAAAGAGATAGTGCTGTCTCTGGGCAAGTTACAATATTATCATATATACTTCTATTGGAATTCAAGCCACATTGGCCAAGATGAGTCAACGCGATTTCTTCTCTAGGGCAACACCGACGAATTATATTTTTCGTTTACTACTGGAAATGAATAGTGAATGTGTGTCCAAGTTGTTTCATCACCCCATTCCTTTTACCAAGATGCATTGACTGAAGAGGATATGACAAACATGAATCCTCTTGGGTCTGGATTAATACACTCAATATCTGGCTGGTAGTCCACTTCTTTAGTTCCAGCTAAACCAGCATGGGCAGTAAACTACATATTATGACAACAAATGCACAAAACAGCATGAACTTACAAGTGGTCGTTTAATAAAGTTGACCATATAAGCCTCATTGAATGACGTGTACGGCTGATAACCGTTCAGGAAGGATTATTGCTACTTGCTCATTATCACTGACCCATCATAAAACTTGATGTATAGCTGTTAATTCTGCGGCAATTACAGACAGTTGATAATTCAATCTCAATCTTTTGCGGAGTGGTGGTGGGGGCGTGGCCTGGAATATAAATAGTTCCACCAGCATTACAAACTCTTGAAAACGCTTGGTGACATTTGCTGGTTAACAAGCTTCTATAAAACCTTTGAAAGAGACGGTTATGTTAGAGTCCATGGAACCGTTCATTGGCAGAGTTAAGCCAGGATTTAACTAGAGATCGTTCAGCTTGTGCTGTAATGCAAATTGTTATATAAATAATCAAAACAGCTGTTTTGAATGACCCGTACGTTGCATACTCCACACAGACACATAATTTATCAGTTGCTGGTTGATCCCTCGGCACAGGACAAATATGATTACACAATGCCATTTAGAAAGTGGTCAAATGCAACATATGTTATATTTAGGATTACACTTTCTTAGTAAGGTACAAATTCTAGTATTTTTTTAGTTGAGCCCCATCCGGGAGCTGAGCGGGTTAGGCGGCTGACTTTGTGTGCTGGCGCTTAGGTGCCTGACTCTGAGGGTGTGAGTTCGAATCCCGGATGGGGCTCAACTCAAAAAGTACTAGAATTTGTACTTTACAAATGTAATCCTAGTGTAAACCTAAATATAACATATGTTGCACAGGACAAATACTTGAGAGCATCTTTATGACGATGATATTGCTTAGGAGATTCTGAGCATCCCATCCGATGCAGAAACTGGAGTGGTAGAAAGGCACCAGCACATATCCGAAGAGCTTTGGATTCTACACGATCAAGTTATTAGTACTCGGAGAGTTATCTCCCCTCCCCATGTGACCTCTTTCCTTTTCATGAGAAGATGAGATGTGGATGTAACTGCAAAATGTGCGTATTTCCTAGAAATCAAAATAGACACAAACTGGTATATGAATAGCTATTATGTTTTATAACAAAAAAATAATTAAACAACTACAATATTTAAAAAAAAAAAATTACATGTATATGTATTCACGTTTGTGGAGGTAATTAAATAATATCTGGTCCTTTGACGGGATATGTGTGTGTGTGTGTGTGCCCCCCCTCTCTCTCTCTCTCTCTCTCTCTCTCTCTCTCTCTCTCTCTCTCTCTCTCTCTCTCTCTCTCTCTCTCTCTCTCTCTCTCTCTCTCTCTCTCTCTCTCTCTCTCTCTCTCTCTCTCTCTCTCTCTCTCTCTCTCTCTCTCTCTCTCTCTCTCTGTGTATGTGTATGTGTGGATCATTTGGGGCGATCAGTCTATGGTGCCAGGCTAGTGATCCCGCGAGCTTGAGGTGCCGGGATCGAGCCCACATGTGAGCGGGTCTAAAAACCTTGGAGTCATCTATGTGTGCAGACTATTTCAGTGTTGTCACAACCCCTAGTGTACAGTACACAACCCTGTGCTCTTAAAAGAATCCGTTGGTATATGACCAGATGGTGGCCACGTGAATACGTACAAACACCTATTTGCGGGTACAGCAACGTGCAGTAAAACTTAGACAAAGTACTGTGACTATGTGTCCCAGTCTACCCAGTTGTGAATGGGTACCTCGTAAAGATGGGAAAGCTGCAAAAACTTTATATGATCCCTAGGAAGTTGATATTGATAATACGATGTGCCGATCCAATGATCGAGAGGAAAAAACAGTGCCTCGAGCATGTACTAGTTGCGTGGATATGTGCGCAATATAAATACCATATGATAAAAATAACAGTAAATGCCGTACTATTTTCAATGTTCCTCTTACATAGTCAACCTGGCCAATCATTACAAGCCGATAATTTCACAAGTAATGATTTGCAGATACAGAAAAAGAGAAGAAATAGTTAATTTACATTAATTGTAAACATCCCCAAAGTACAATGGCTCCATCCAAAATGTCAGGTAGCAGACAGATTTTCGAATATGGAGATCCATGACAAAAGATGAAGTATGGTGTGTAGTCATCTGATCAATATTGACAGATAATGCACGTACTATTTGGCAACAGAACTCCAGGACAATAATTCATAAGTTAAAGTTTTGGATATTTTTAACAATATAATCTTTCAGTTATCAGACTCAAGGACAAGTGTGGCAGATAATCCAAATTTGTTTTTCGCAATGGAGCAGTCATTAGTTTATCATTATTTCATTCCTTTAAACATAACTAAACCGCACTTTTATTGTTTAATATTTTTTAGAAACCAATTAAATCATTGCAATTCAGTGACAATTTTGCTAAATTCTATTTTACAAATTCAGATAAAATCATTTCTATACGTTTCCTTTAGAATACCATTTCAGCATGATTAAGTTGTGAGGTTTTGGTTTCCAGGATGGTTGATGATAATACACTAAGTTTATGTTCATAAAATATTTTATTTGAAATTGAAAACTCGTGGTGGCACATTAATCGTCTTCGCTTGCAGGCGCCGTGGCAGTTATACTACAAGCTACAATATTGAATTTGGATATATCCATGAGCATTAATCATGCAACAACCTACTTTTTTAAGATGAGTACGAAATCACATGTTGGTACATATGCTTTGAAAACCAAAATTTCACGGATTAAAATGGCAACTGCAACACAATTTACACTGAATTCAACAAAAACAAAACTGAAATTGAAACATGGTAACACATTACTGCAATCTAAGAAGAATACACCAAAACGTGAACATCAACAATGATGGAAAGTATGGTCACCATGACTACCCCATAAATCTGATTGTCACACAGTTTTAAAACAATGGTTGTTCTGATTGTATGAACCACCACAGGCGACCACATCAGTATCACGTGCAGGCATACATGCAGACACCCCTTGAACTTCTAACATCTGCCAGTCTCCTCCTCATACGGCCAATCAAGCAGCATATTATACTAGCCACATAAAGAAACCGTGCATTGTCAAAATATTATCCCAGTTGATAAGTACGATAACAATGTCAAAGGTACATATAAACCTTAATGGAGGGATCATGAGACCATAACAAGTCGGGAGAATTTCAATTGAAAAGTCAATCACAATGACGTCACGAGTCTACAAGCGGGACAGGGGTCAAACGACCATGTCACAAGCTCAATAACGGGTATGTCCACCATCGGCATTGAGAACAGCAGTGCATCGACGACGCATAGAGCCTATCAAACGTGCAAGGAAGGCTTGTGGGATGTCACGCCAGATTCCCTCAAGTTCTGTTGCAAGGTCAAGGACGTTATCTGGCGGACGAGGAAGACGGCGTAGACGTCGATCCATCTCGTCCCAAACATGCTCTATCGAGGAGAGATCCGGTGAATTTGCAGGCTAAGGAAGTAAGTCAACGTTGTGGTGTTGCAAGAAATCCATAGCAACCCTTGCTGTATGAGCGAGGGCATTGTCCTGTTGGAATATTAACCCAGGGCCATGACGTTGCAGAAAAGGAATTGCCACAGGTCGAAGAATCTGATCCCTGTAGCCCACACCAGTTAAGTTGCCCTGAACAATCACCACAGGAGTTCTTTGGCGTGCTGTTATTCCAACCCAAATCATCACGGAACCACCGCCAAAGCGATTCCTCTCCAAGACACAGGCCTGTGCATAACGCTGTCCCACGCGTCTATAGGCACGTTGACGTCCATCACTATGGGAAATGTTAAACCTGGACTCATCTGTAAAAACAACATTTCTCCACCAAAACAAGGGTGTGCGGACATGATTTCGGCACCACATTCGGCGAGCTTGTCGATGACGTTGTGTCAGGATAGGCCGTATGGCGGGACGTCGTGGTCTGATCCCGTGATGACGTAAACGTTGTCTAACTGTGTTGCGGTGGATATGGCGAAGTCCTGGGATGGTTCGGGCAGTCATCACTGTAGTCTGAAACCTGTGGCGAAGATGGGTCACCCTTATCCATCTGTCCTGTCCTGGCGTTGTTACACGTGGACGTCCAGAACGTGGCCGATCGATGACGT